ATTTTATTATTTCAGATCACAGAGTGGAATCATCCAAGTATTAGAACAAAGCAGGTGCACCAAGCATCGCACAAACCTCCAAACTGCCCAAGATACACAAAAACTTAACTAAAAAACAAAATAAGAAAAAGAGGGCTGGAGCTGTGGCTCAAATGGTAGAGTGACTGCCTAGCATGCATGAGGTACGGGGTTCAATCCCCAGTACAAGAAAAAAGAAAAAAAATGTATATATAAGATAAAGATGTAACATAATTCACTGAGTGGTACTCTTTTCCTTTTCCAAACTGTAAAAGTATTAGAAAAGTTATTCAAATTTTGTTAGAAATAACAGCGCTATCATTTAGGGCAGTAACAAAAGAGGCCAGTGTGGAAGGAACAGGAGAGAAAGGAAAGAGGAATGTGGTATCTTCCAAGGGAATGTCTAGGTTCTTTTCCTCCTTTATAAACAAAGGGCCAAAAAATTGAGACACTGCCAAATTAAAATTAAAATTAATACCAAATTAAGCCCTTGCAGGAAAAGCTACAGTGAGAGCAACACCTTACATCTCCGCTGGTCTTGTCTTTCTGAAGCTGGAGACCCATCCCACTGTCACCTCTTTTCCAACCCCAGTCGTGACTCAAAAACCCAATAATGGCGCCACAGGGTTGCAGCCAGAACTTTAAGAACTTCTTTCATTTGTCACACTTATAGTGCAAATTAATTAGCTTGTAAAAAGCCAGACTCACCCATCCCCCAGAGGACTCTTCATCTTCGTAGTGACTCCACCACTCATCCAGTTGTGTAAGCCAGAAACCAGAAGGCAGCCTGGCACACCCCTGGGCCCTGCACACCCAATCCACCACCTAGGCCGTTCAATTTGACCTCCCTAGTCCAAGCTATCACTGTCTCTTCCTGCAACTCAATAGTCTACCATATCCACTCCGGCTACCTCCTGCTCTTGTGATTCTCATTACAGACTGTAGTCAACTCTGCAAAAGGCAAATCAGATCAGGTCACCTCCTTCTAGAAGGTCAAACTCTGAGTTAAGAAAAAAAGTGCCTGAGTATGGTTGACGAGGTATACTGTGACCTTATTTCCTCTCTAACCACATCAGTCTCCAGTGGACCCCTAACTCCTCTCATTTCCCCCCTACTACTGAGTCTGTGCACTTGGGAGTTGTGTCCCCCCAGCCTCCACTCAATTTATTCTTTAGGTTGTTCAGCAGTCCTCACTGCCTCAGGGCTCCCTCCTACACCTCATTGTCTCAGAACCCTGACCACCAGTATTCTAGTACAATTTCCAGAGCCGCAGTGCTGCATTCACAGTGATTATCACACGTCCCAGAACCAGACTGTAAATCCATGATGACAGGGGTGACTTCTGTGTCTGTACTGGGGGCCTCAACACCTCTCACAGTAACTCGGTGAATGTCTGCTGAACTAATAAAAGAGCTATAAATATTCATCATGCCTTACAGTGTGAAGATGGCAGATCAGTAACGCGAGCCAGCATCTCTCACCACCACAGGCCAAAATCTTAGCTACCTAATTCACCATCTGCCTTTGGTGAAGGAGGGGGTGGGGTAGAAGTAGGTTCCATGTGTCCTCCTCAATGAAGGAGCTTCAAATATATCAGGGTACTCAATTAAACTCTATCTCTATTAAAATTATTTAGCAGAAAGGCATGCATTCCCAAAGAGGTAAGGTTAGTTCAGAAATTATCTTGGCTTAGTGTTAGAGTACTTGTCAAGAGTGTGTGAGGCACCATAAAAAAAAAAGAAAAATCTGTTTTTAATGTTTTGACACAGGGTGGAACTTTGAACCCACTTTCAGAGTTCTCCTAATGAAAGGTAAGCCTCCTTTTACACGAGAAACTTCTACCACACCACTTTACATGGACAGTGAAGGTATATGTTACCTCTAAGCCCTTCACAGGGCTTTAAGAAAGCTGGGCTTAAAAGGCAACACCTCTTCACTCCTAGGTTGAGGCAGCTGGCAGGTTTCCTCTCCAGTGCCACATGCCTCCTTTCTACCAGAGGAGATCAAGAGGAGATGGGAGGGAGGAGGGAAAGGAGGAGCTTCATCAACCCCCTGCCTGAAAGGGTGGAGCAAGAAACGATTCCTGAAGGAGGTCTCAGGGCGCCACCCCTGTCCCTAGAGCTGTTCACACAGTACCCTGTCCCGGAGACAGGCAGAACAAAATACCAGACTGCCCTCCTTGGAAGTCCTCCAGTCCCACTTACTAGGGCCCAAAGCAGTCATGGAAAATGCAAGTTCAGACAACAGGCTGTAGCTGTCCCTCCCCACAGCCCTCCAGCAGCCCGCCCTGCATGGCTGTCCTCCTAAGCACACGCTTTACTGAGGCCGTTTCCTTCTGTGGAGGCTTGGGGCAGGGCTCCTACTTAACCTGTGTCTGTGTCTTGGCTCAGTACCAGACTGTAAGTCCCCATAGGACAGGTCTGTGTGACCCTTGGTGCAGGGCACCCTGCTTGCTGAATGAATAAACAGCCAATCTGTTTAAAAAGTAGTGCTTTAAGAAGCAATCGCAAGAGAAAACACAGCCAATGAATATTGTTTCATTTATACTGTATTTTGAATAAAGTCATGCAATGATTCAGTTTATACCTAAACTGAATCACCAGGTAAAAGCCCCCAAACCCCAACTATTCAGGTCAATCTGTGGTTGCCCCTTATCTTCATAAACATTCAATCCCACAAAAGCTATTTAACGAAATTCTTAGCTTGGCCTTAAATAACTAGAATCAATAACCCTTTGTTTAAAGGACAGATCCATAGAGCTTGTTGGAAGATGCCTCATTTAACATTTACCAAGGCAGGAAACAAATCAACCCCAAGCCCCCTAAACCAAACACCAACAAACTGAATTCCCTGTAACAGCCTTAGGGATGGCTACTGGGCTCTCTTTGTGATCAGAGATGGGATAGCCCTAATATGACTGTCTTTCATCTCTAACACCTGCCCCTGCCTAAAATGGGGCAGGTTGGGATCTCCCATAGCAGACATGCATGACTCACCTAAAAGAAAACTTCTCTACAAAGTGTGAAAATTATAACTGGATATTGTACAAAACAGTCTCCCAAAAAGATGCTTTGGCTAATGAGGCTCAAATACACACGGGCAATGGCCACTCTCCTTTTCCAACCCAACGACTCTCTTCACTTTGTCAGACATTTGTCAACTCTTAAGTTCCTACCCAACAAAAGAAACCTTTAAAACAAAGTGAAATTCAAACATACCCACCATAAGAAATAAAAGAGAGGCTTAAAAAGGGCAGGGAATTTTCATATAGTGCAACACATATAAAACCTGAATGAAGACATTATTGATGGTAAGGGAAATGAGACAGCCTCAAAAGGTCAAATACTCTAAGCTTCCCCCACACAGGGTCCCTAGAGTACTCAACTCACACACACAGACTAGAATGCTGGCTGCACTGAGTGGGAGCTGAGGATCAGTTTAGGATGAAGAAATTCCACAGATGGATAGTGGTGATGTTTGCTTAACAGTATGAATATACTGAAAGCCACTGTACTGTACACTTAGAAATGGCTATGTGTTAATATACCATAATAATAATAAAAGAAACCAGAAAAAGAATCAAAGAAATTACAGTGGATGAAAAGAAAAGAGAAGGAAAGGCAGTGACTGGAAACAGACTCTTTTCTGAATACTGAACTCTGCATCTTTTGGTAAAATCGAGACACCACACCAGGAACTAATCTCTTGACCCCCCCACCCCTCCTCCCCATCTGCTGCACCCAATAGTGCTCCAAGGCATTGTACCTTGGCTGTATCATTTTTAAGTTTGAAATGAATAAAAGAATTTTGTGTAGGATCATCAAAATCCTACACATGAGGATCTGCTTCATGAGCGTCATCTTGATGATGCAACTTACACCAAAAACTATATTGGCTCAGACTCTTTATTAGAGTAATTTCTTTAACCTAACAGAAAACTAGGACTTCTAATGAACTCCTCTCACAGAACATAAAATTCAACAGGAGAGAAAGCACATAAGGACTGCTGACAGAACCAACTTGTTTGGAAAAACTAGAAATAAATTCCTCATCTATTTTTTCCTTGCAATTTTGAATGAATCCTCATTTTTCTCCATCGTAATTCAAAACTCAAAAAACACCTAAACGCCTGTCGCCAGTATCCAGTCACCAGCTCACCAATGTGAAATAGATACAACTTTCTAAGAAGCGCCACTCACTAAGAACCTGCCTGTCCCCATAACCCTGGCCTGGCCAGCAATCTCAACACAATCAGATTCAGGGAGCAAGGTGCAGGCACGCAGCACTTTAGTCAGCTGACCTGTCCCGTCCTGAGCCCAAGCAGCCTCCTTATCAAGCTTCCCGGGCTGTCTCATCTGCAATTCAAGTCCATTACTAACCCTTTCAAAGATAGGAATCCTGCTGCAACCAGCAAATTCTCAGGCTAACAGGCAGCGCCTCCGGAGCCGGGGGGTGTGGACGGGGGACGACGACAGGAGGACTGGGGACGACGAGGACGACGGGACTGGGACAAGGCTGGTCGCTGCAGAGAGCTTGCCTGTCTCCCAAATGCCCTTCAAATCGCCCAGCAAAGCGTGGGCTGCCTGCGGTTTCGGGACACTTGAGGAACTGGAAGAGTAGGTGTAGCTGGTGGGAAAGTCATCTAGTCTTCCCGCGATCTGCACTTTCAAAGAAACTTTTAAACAGATCGAAGCAGTATGAAAGGGACCTCAAGTTTTTATGCACGAGCACAACTTCGGAGGAGGGGACTCCCGGAGAAAAAGGCGAGCAAGAAAAGCATCACCATGGCGTGTTCTTAGCGTCCCGCAGAAGGGTCACCAGGAAACAAGAGGGCAGCAGAATTCGATTCCTGTCCCCACTCACTTCAAAAAGAGCACTACAAAGATCTTTCTACAAAGATCCGCCCAACTCCTCGGGCAGGTGACTCCCCTCGGAAACGGAACCTGGCGCATGCGACCCGGCTCAGAACCGGGACCACTTACTGGCTTCGGCATTTTCGGTTCCTGATGGGCGGCCTCGATCCCCCGGAAGCTCGGCAGCAACAGCAGCAGCTCAGATAGGTCTCGATCTGCAGGCAGAGGGAATCCCTTAGCGCGTCCCGCAGCTCTCCGCGCGGACTTAAGAAGCGGCCGGGCGGTGCCGGCTGAGTCACCGCCCAGCCCGGGGCGGGGCGGGGCGGGGCTGCGCGGGCCAGCGGGGGCGGGGGCGGGCGCCGGGCCCGGGGCGCGGGGCTTCCCGGCACACAGCAAGTCTCACTGTGTAGCAACCGTTGCCTCTGGGCTTGAAACCGCAACCGCCAAGCCTTTGAGAAACACTGTTTCAAAAACTGTCACCTCCCGGCAGCAGCCAGGGGCGGCGCGGCGCGGGCTCCACTTTTCCTTCCGAAGGGGACCGAGTGGAGCGAGGAAGGCCGCGCGCGCAGCAGCTCCACTTGCCTCGTGTGGGGGCCTCGCGGGGACCCGGGACCCTCAGCCCGGCTCTCTCGTGGCCACCCACCTGGTTCCCGCGCAGGCTACCCCTCGGCCAGAAGCCGCACCTGTCGTCGAGTCCCGGCCGCCGTCCCCATTTAGGGAAAGTGCGCGCGCGCCCCCCGCCCCGGCCGCGCGCCCAGCTCACCGCAGCGCCTGCAGTGCACGGTGCGCTCCCGCCGGCCGTCGGTGCGTCCGCCCAGTGTGCCCGTCGCCCGCGCTCCCGAGAGGCCCTCGCGGGCGGGGTCCCGGGGCCGCGCCCCTTCCCGCCCCGCCCGCGCGCCCGACCTGCGAGGTGCGCCCCGCGCAAGATGGCCGCATTCGCTCGCGCCCCGCGCCCCTCTCGGCCTGCGACCCCGGATCGGGCAGGGGCCCTAGCCCCCCGCCCCCGGCTCTCACGGACCTCGCCCTCCGCGTCCCGGCCCCGCGCCCTCGGAGAGGAACTTGGCGGAGTTAGGTCTACTCCTGAGCGCAGATGTGAGCTGCGAGTGTTCCACTTTGAACTGGGGGAAATCAAGAAAGTGTAAATAAGTCAGGCGGGGCGGACGGCCACCGAGCAGTGCCTGGATCGTCCTTGGGCGGGGACCGAGAACCTTTCCCCCAGCGCGGTACCTGGCCGCCGTGTCTTCGCGCACGTGGTCCGCGCAGCCTCCGCCTTCCTCCGAAAATGAAGACTGTTGCCACTTGCTCGGCTAAAGGACTAATTTGTGGCCTTATTTGACTAGCAAGAAGCTCCGTGGCGAGTCATCTCTGAAATTCTAGAAATTAATTCGTTTCCTAATCGTTCTCAAGGGGAAATTTTTTAAAACACGAGACACATGAACCTTCGCGACCAGTAGAATTTGTTGTGCGACTAGCGAGCTCGCTCACGTTAGAGCATCGGCTTTCAAAGCATGTTGCAGGGACTAGCATGCCCTTGGGAACGTGCACAAGTGCAAGTTCACAGGTTCTGCCCAGCTAGGGCTTCAGAAACTCTTTCACGCCCCAGCAGTCTTGAGTATCAAAGCCCACCAGGTGATTGTGAAGTTGGCTAAAGAAGACCTGAGCTTCTGTTTTCCTTTCGTGGAGCTCACCCGTAACTCCCTGTGGGAGCTGAGTGGGTTAATTCCTTGGTGCTTTCATTTTCTCAACTGTAAAACTGCCTAATTTTATGACTCCTGTTGATAGAATTTTAATGACGATTAGATGTTAAATGCCTGTAACGGTAGGAAAAGCACTCAAATCTATCCTGGGACAGAGTAACCAGTGACTTTGGGCAAAGTTCCAAGCTATGACTCAGTTTCTTAGTTTATAGGATGGGGACAGTCCTAGCACCTTCTACACAGATTTCGGATTAAATGAGATTGTGCACACACCGTGCTGGGTGAATAGTGCTGTCATGGGACAAGTGGCTTCTTAGGCAACCCCATCAGCACCTGTCATCTCCCGGCTGCAGATCCAGGCACTTTAGAGACTCAGGAAGAGGGAAGCCTCTTCTGAGATTTTGTCCCTAATCAGTCAAGTCAATAAGGTTGGAATTCTTCCCTTCCAGAATTTCTTTTTTCTTAAAATTAAGATACAATGGTGCGATAGGAAAGAAACTATGGAAGATATTTAAATCGCCTACTATGATAACATGTCAGATTGGATTTACTCCTCTTGACACTCCCTACCTCCACAGCTTTACCTGGAGCCTTGGTAGGCCTTTTTAGTTCCCAACTCTGCTGATGGAACACAGCTCTAATCCATTTTTTATCTTGCTCAGTTTACAGTATATCTTCCTAAATGGATGTTTGAAATAGCGATGGCTTCTGGAGAATCTCTGAACTTTGCCCTGCAGGGGAATCCTGAAAAATGGCCTGTGGTAATTTTACCCTATTTGATAAAATTGAAAAGATGACAGGGTTTAGAGGCAAACAGAGGGAAGGCTGCATTCCGGTTCCAGCACTTCCCAGCAAGTCACTTTGGACAAGCCGTGGAGCCTGAACTTCCAAATCTTCATCTGTAAAGTGGAGGTGACACGGGATTCTTGTGTCGCTGAGTCACATCAAGCGAGAATTTTACTTGCTGGGATTCAACTTGTATGTGTACTCTTTCTTGCAGAAGTTAAAATAGTATAAAACCATATTTTGCATATGTAATCTTCATATGTTCCCCATTGCTGTATGCGTTACATGTTACTGAACAGGGTACTTCCCCTGGCCTCAGGCAAATAAAGCCATTGATATTGTATCTTATGAGTGTTGTAGGGGGATTTTTCATGGGTCATTTACTTTCACCTGTCTTTTGTACCTAATCCCTCCACCCAGCACTCTTGAAGAAGTCTGAATTCCAGGGCAGTCTATGAGATTTGCTTAAGACAGTGGCTCCAAGTTTAGAACCTCTCCTAGAGCTCCCCCTAGGAATTATGATACAAAGAGCCCCCAGGTGGCCCCTGGAAACTGTCTTTAACAAGCCTCCTACCCCCAGGTGACCCGGATGCACAAAAAAAAAAAAATATGAGAAGCTGGCTTAGGATATGGCAGGACCCTAAATACATTACTTACCTTGCAGCTCTCTACACCCTTGTTGTGTGAGGCTGTTCTGTGTTGAAAGTTGTGACTTTTAGTGGTAGAGCACCAACCCCAGCACCGCAAAAAAAAAAAAAAAGATCTTTCTTCCAATTACATAGGAGAGGGTAAGGCATCAAGAGTCCCACTAGGGAAGTGCCCGGTGACTCCCTCCCGTCTGTAATCCTAGCTCTTCAGAAGGCAGAGATTAGGAGGATTGAGGTTCAAGACCCTATCTCAAAAATACCCAACATAGGGCTGGCTAGCAGAGTGACTTGTCTAGCGAGCCTTCAAACCCCAGAATTAAAAAAAAAAAAAAGAAAGTTGTGACTTTTTAAATATATGATAATCAATGCTGGAAGGAAGTGAGGAGGCATTGGAGTCAGGAGTTGAGGGGAAAGTCTAGCTGTTGACCTTGACTGACTCCTCATTTCAGGGTTTCAGCTTTTCAGTTAGAGGAGCGTAATCATGTCTACCTCAGGAGTCAGGCAAAGGGCTCTTCGGTACCTAGCTTAGAGTTCTTGAGGTAAGATAAACCAAAATAAGGGGGGGCCACACTTCTGGTAGGCAGTTTTAGAAACAGGATCATAGCTACAACCCTCCTATAGGACAGTCATATCTATCAAATCACCTGGGAGCCTGTCTCCACACCGGTGCCAGGTTAATCTCACCCAGTGACAAAATATTCTGGTAGGCAGTTTTAGAAACAGGATCATAGCCTACAACCCTCCTATAGGACAGTCATATCTATCAAATCACCTGGGAGCCTGTCTCCACACCGGTGCCAGGTTAATCTCACCCAGTGACAAAATATCCACAAGTAGTATGACAATCTTCAGTCTCACTGGCTTTGAAAGAACAGTCGATATGCAATAGGGAAATAAATACTTGGAGAGTGCCCTTGGCAAAACAAGGATCTTGGTAAGTTTCAGCACTTAACCTTGGGAAAATTCAAGACAGAGGGCCTCTACTTGGAGCAGGGAGGGGATGCAGCTAGAAGAACTGCAGAGGGCCACTGCACTGATGCTTTATCAAGTGGTGGTACACAGGTCTCCTTTCTTTCCTCTTTCTGTTTTCTTTGTGGAGCTGAAATGTTTTTATTTTAAATATAACATTAGGGTCAGCTTTTTCATTGGCTGAGACAAGAATATTTCATGAAATCTTATAAAGTTCTGTGAACTCAAGCTGCAAATTCCTGAATCATTCCTTTCTGACCTCTGGAAGGGTTACTCGTCCTTTCTGAGTGGATAAGAAGTCGCATAAACACGGAGGACTCAAACAGTCTGATAGGTGTCATTCAGCTATCTCCAAGTGTGCATTGTGTCAAGAAATAATTGTTAAGGAGTTTGGCAGAACAGTAGGCTAGGGAGAGTCTCTTGTTCTATTTTGATGGTATAATTTATATAACTAGGATGTGCTAAGAAGACTGCCCGCCCTGGCTGTTCTATTCTCAATGTTTCTTTGGCTTGTTTAGCAATTTGCATAAATGTCCTTAATAATTTTTATGTAAAAGAGTACTAGTGATTACTCAATTTGTTTGATTAATAACTCCCAAATAGCATAGCTTCCTATATTTTTTTCTTATCACTTAACCATTTTTCCTTGTAAAAAAAAATTTTTTTTTCCAGGGAGTGGAAGGAATCTTTAAACCTCATCTGCTTGGATATCCTCATTTTCCAGAGGAAGCAGACCCAGAGTGATTAAATGAATTGTCTTCATCCCCGCACCCAGACTTCCCTCGTCAGTATTACCATTCGCTCTGTCCTGCTGAATCGTGGGCAGACCTCTCTGCCTCATCTTACCCTTTTCCTAAGCAGCCTTGGACACCTTTGAGTATTCCTTGGCACATTCTGTTCTTAGGGTGTCTGTGTTCTCTCTTCCCTCCTGTTCTTCCTCCCCGGCTCTCAGGGCTCTGCTCAGCTCAGGCTTGGCCCTTATCTGTGTACACTCCCTCCCTTGGTTACCTCATGGGTTCCCAAGCTTCACCTATAATCTCAAGCACTCAGGAGATGGAGGCCAGAGGAGCTAGAGTTCAAGGCCAGCCGCTACATAGAAGAAGCTGACTCAAAGCACAAAAAAAGAAAAGAAAAGCACTATTTTTTGAGTGAGCAGATTGAATAAGAAAGACTACTACGTTGAGTGACCAGCTATGAGTTAGTTCTTGTCCTCAATACCATCTGCTATCCACTGGGGTGGAACACGCGCAGACAGTCTTTTACCCAAAAGTCTTTTATTTAGCAAACCCCAGCCACCAGAAACCAAAATATAATATTGATAATTGCATATGTATTGAGAACTTTCTATCTCCCTTAAGTTCATTCATTTCAAGCTGTTCACTATGATTCTATCACGTTGCTGAGCTGCTTCCCCAGGGCACAGCAGATCGGAGAGAGACTCAACGGCTCAGCAGTGAGAAGTGACAGCTGGAGCACATAGAGGCAGGCAGTACAGAACGGAGACTAGACTCAGGAGCTCCTGTCAGCTGCACGAACGCCGCAGCGCATTCCTCAGGCGCTCCGAGGCACAAAGTCCAGCATGGAGAGTGCTTGAATCTCACAGAGAGCTTTCCTCTGGAAAAGGGTTTGTGTCTGCTGTCTGCTACCAGAAAATGTGTTACTTGTAATTTATAAAAGAGATGATAGTTTTAAGTCTACCAGCAGTAAATTCAATAGACATCTATGTAC